TAGACGTACCCATAATGTGTTCCAGGAATTAGTGTTGACACTGGGGGCTCTATTCTGAAGGCTCTTTGCAGAGGAAGTTGATTGTAGGGTTTTATACTATCAGTCTATTTGCAACAGCTGTTTCATTAGCTTGGGCCTTTGTTAGTTTTCTATCTGCACTTTCCTTCCCTTTATTAGAGTTTTCCTCATTCTGAGCTTTTACTGTCTGCTCATCTGTGTGGTGTTGGGTACAGTAGTAGCTTTGAGATAGTTAACATGGAATTTGGTAACATAAACTTAACAGGAGAGTTAAACCTTTATCTTCTAAAAATCTAATTGAAATGGCAAAAACCAAAACACAGATTGTAAACTTTCAGAACTGTTTAGATTATTTATGGGTGGTTTGATGAAAAATGAATTGGGCAAAGAAGGAATTGTATTAAAGTTAATGTTAAAAATTTACATAACACAGAGGTTAAGAAAAGAGTGTCTGTACATCTGGGTATAGTGCTTATGTTATCCACAAATACAAAGTTTGTTTTGAAAGTCAAAGCACTAACCCAAATCTAGGGGAATAAATTTAACAATACAGTTTAGATGAGGGATCTCTAAATCCAGGTCCATAGGCCATCTCCAGCCAGAGCAGTTGCTCAGAGGGGTGAGGAGAGGTGGGTGTTGTCCATTCCCAAGCCCCGCCCCTTCCCACTATCATCCTCTCCCACCATGGAACTCTATCCCCCATGACACGCATGAAAAGTTACATAGAGAGCTGGTTGTGGGAAGCAAATATATCAATGAGTGAAGATTATCTTTCAGTGACTGAGAATTTAGGGCAGATTGTCTATTAGAAAATACAATGCATCAAGAAAATATTTGAGATACTTTCTGACTGTACTTTTCATGGGCACTCGAGTTAATCTCTCCAGGTACTTAAAGAATCATAGAACTAGAAGGAACCTTTATAGGTTATCAAGTATAGTCCCCTGCATCCATGGCAGGACCAGTGCTGAAATCCAGTGATATATTCTAGGTAGATGTCCTCATCTGCCTGACGGCATCAAAAATCACTCATTTAACAATTTCCCCACCTTCCATTGGACTGTCTCACTTTTCTTAGCACCCTTTTTGCAAGAAATCTAAGAGACTCTGAGAATCTCCTTTTGCCTCATTTCTGCTACTCATGCAGATTCCTGAAATCAGTTATAGACATGTAGTGTTTGTTTATAGAGTGTTACATAACTTTTTAGCCACAATTGAGAATATGCATACCAAGGTGAACCCAGAAACTTGAAGTTTGATGAAAAATCAGTGAGACGCACAGTATGTCTCTGTCCCCCACAAAATATCCTGCAGCTTAGAAGAAAGTTCCCAGATTTGGGAGAGGATATCAGCAGTTCACATCTCACCTAGGTGCTGTTTGAAGTCCTGTGAAATTCACAGTTGTTATTTACTACAGCTGTAAGCTCTAATCTAAGAAGACAACTAGCGAAGAGTTGCTAAATATTCTTCTCTTCACCCATATTTTTTAAATAAATTAGGAGAAGGCTTATTCAAGTTCACTACAGGCCCTAAGTTTAGGTCTTTAACATTTACTATCTCCAACATTATTGCATCTTATTGCCTTTCAAAATGACTGACTAGTTTAGTTTGTGTTTTTATAAAGCACTCTTCCCTTCTAGAACTACAGATAGAATTCAGATTTCTTGATCACCAATATTATACAGCTGATTAATAACCAGGGGTATGTCTACACTACAATGTTAGTTCGAACTAACAGACGTTAGTTCGAACTAACATTCATAGGCGCTACACTAGCGCTCCGCTAGTTCGAATTTGAATCGAACTAGCGGAGCGCTTAGTTCGAACTAGGAAAACCTCATTTTACGAGGATTAAGCCTAGTTCGAACTTACTAGTTCGAATTAAGAGGTGTGTAGCCCCTTAATTCGAACTAGTGGGAGGCTAGCCCTCCCCAGGTTTCCCTGGTGGCCACTCTGGCCAACACCAGGGAAACTCTATGCCCCCCTCCCGGCCCCGGACCCCTTAAAGGGGCACGGGCTGGCTACGGTGCCCGTGCCAGGTGCAAGCCTGCCAGCACCCAGCT